ATGAAGTTGGCAAGAGAACAGAATGGAACGAGAACATTTATCCTTATTTAAGAATCAAACATCGGTGGTTCGTATATTAGTAGCATATTTTCGGCCTTTTAGAAATATTATGTGCAAACAATACTGTTTTATATTTACTCTCGGTGCATGAGGCTTCCATCTCACTTTAGTCCCGTCTAGAGTGAAATCTTTTTAACTTGTGGAAAGATTAACTTGAACAACGTGAAAAGACCATAAGAACCACTGTGGTAGGGCCACGCTACAGCCTCGGCAGTTGCACGAATGGGCGGGCTCGTCTCGTCGTGAAATGGAAGTATAATACTTTCGCGTTTCGTCTGGTGAGTGAGGTGGCCGGAGCCCAATTTTTCCATGGGCGGTGGTATTCAATTAACATCAGGTGAACCGCCTGCTCGCTTGGCAACGTTTCACATAAAAAAAATCTAGTAGTATTAGTTATCTCGTTTCTGGTGGTCACCTCCGTTTTTTAATGGAAAAAGGACAAACGAACCAGCCGGTCATCTGATGTTAAGCGGTTACGGCCGCCCGTGGCCACTGCAACATCGGTTCTCATTATTGCGTTGTCGGCCTTTAAGGTCGGTTAGGCCTCTTCTTGAAGGTCCCTAAGAATATTCTACGGAAGAGGTGTATATAACGTAATCGTGATCGTAATCAGGCACTAGTGTCCCATTGTTGGGCAAAGGCCTCCTTCCTTATAACTGTTCATATATAAACTTGTATATACTATGTTTTATACTTTCAATTATAGTCTTGCTGGCGTTTTAGTCAGTTTGTAATTTGTAGTAGTCGTTATCTTATATTGCAGCTGTGCTCAGAACCAGATCGTTTTTGTCTGATACGTTCACGGGACTGAATCTCCCTAATTCATCTCAGCGGTGTCGTTGGCTCCAAAGAGTTAAGGAGAGCATAGTAAGAGCACGTTAACGTTATACGGCGACACCGTCGGAACGATAAACTAGCCATGCGGAGTTCATTCCATCATATAGTCGGTTGTTCAATTTTATGGTTACCTTCTTCATTTCATTTAAGTATTTTCACTTTATTATCTAATCCTTCACGTGCTAGAGAATGTGTGAAAAACACGAGTAGTTTTTGAGTTATTTTCGCTAGGAGGATCCATGTGATCATCTAGTGAAAGTTAATTTATTTTACGTCAATGTTTGTTTTTACAAATGAAAAGAAAAATAAGTTTTATTTATATAAAATTAAACGCATACTGATAACTTTACAGATATGCATAAGACAAAAGTAATATGCAAATAACTGTGTAACTTTTAAACGATAAAAAACAGGAAACGAATTATTTTAAGTATTTAATTAAATTAAAAAAAAAAGAAACGAATTCTTTTAAATATTACATTGAATATTTTTTTATAAAGTATACTTCTTCGCGCCAAACTTTAAATTAAGAGAACCTTCGTGTAACAGGAAACTGTTGCTTATTTTTCAATATGATTAAAAAGTTATTCCTCAAACACATTTCGTTTCATTTTTAAAAAGATGGAAAATAACAAGAGCTTGTAGAAATGTGCTTAAGCTTTGAAAAATTCGGCTTCTCGTTACCTTGTTTAACGTTTTCATGGGGAAATCTTCAAAAGATACCGCCACCTCTTACATGACAGGGTTATGTGCGGTTCGTACCCACTAAATCCCTCTTGGTGGCCACTTTCGGTGCCTGTACGTTTGGAGGGACTGCGGGATCTTCTAAGGAACGCACCTCGGTATGCCTAGGAGTAGGATGAACCTTCGCTGATACCCTTACTATTTGGCATAGACTAGCAAGAGTACTTCGCACTATTGCTAGTCTACGAACTCAACGTCCCTTTTAATGCCCAGTTTCCAATTTCAATTAACGGCCGTTAGTTACATAGATTTTTTTTTATGTGTAAAGTTGCCAAGCGAGCAATCGGATCACCTGATGGTAAGTGAATACCGCCGCCCATGGACATCTGCTATACCCGAGGGTTCCAGATGCGTTGACAACCTTTTGAAAATTGGGCTCCGGCCACCTCAAACACATGTACACACATGACAAAACGCGAATGTATTATACTTCCACTATACGCCAGTCTTCTGTGAGGTCGTGGTATTTACCCGGACGAGCCTGCCCATTCGTGCAACAGCTGCGTGGCCCTACCACCGTTAAAATAAAAGGCGTGTACGCCCGGTCCCTATTTTAACAAAACTAGGCGTTTTCCTTAAGAGTTGAATTACCTACGGAAAGTGAGTTACTAGCCTTCATTTAATCTACAAGACGTTATGAAACTTACGAAGCTGTGTAACTAACGGCCGCTGGTTGAATATAGGAACCGGGCATAAGTCGGTTTCTCGTTACCATAGTCACCGGAGACCAAGCGTCATATTGTGGTCGCGATAGTACCCCGGTCAAACGCACCTCTTTCCTTATTTAAACATTGCCCTAACTGCTAGATAACATTATCCCGTGTTGTAAGGAAGTTTTACAAAGATAAATTTCACGTGGACAAAAATCCAAATCCGAAACAATTATCTATGGGTCACACAAATATTTGTTCCGTGTGGAAATCGAACCCACGACCCTCAGCGCCGAAGCCAATAAATACCTTGGCAGCTTGGAAACGGAATCAAGAAACGTCTGCAATAGGAAAAGTTGGAACCTTTGTACGACAGTACACATTTTTGGGTCAAAAGTGATACGATCCCTACATTTGTTACTTCAGTGAGGAATATAATATGTTTTTATGTTAAAAGTTGGCAAACTAGCAGGTGGTTCATCTGATGTTAAGTGATATCTGCCGCCCATGGACATCTAACATCTGACGGGTAGCAGATGCGTAGACAAAATTAAAAACTGGCCAAGCGTGAGTCGGACTAGCGCACGAAGGGTTCCTAACCATTACCTATAAAACGGCAAAACTGAGCAAAACTTTGTTGTATGGGAGCCGTTTGAATTATTTTTCTATTTTATGGAAAACTAACAGCTTTTACAAACAACATAAATAAGAGATATTTTTTATCCTGTTTTATCCTGGCAACAGAAATACATCATCTGTAAAAATTTCGTCTGCCTATCACGGTTCATGAGATACAAGCTTGGTGACAGACGGATATACAGACAGAGAGCAAAGTCTTAGTAATAGGGTCCCTTTTTCCTTTGGGTACGGAACCAGACGAACGCGAAAGAAAAATACTCCCACTTCACGCTGATCATCTGTCATGCCGTAATACTTCCCCGGATCAGCCTACCCATTCGTGACACATAAAAAATATAATAAATATTAAGTAACCAAAATAAATAACAACTTGAGTAACTTTGCCACGATTCAAATGCGCGTTCTCAATTGAATATGAATCCCGCTCTAAACTTGTAACACGTGAAATATCGTTCAGTTGGCATCGGTTGCAAGTCCGTTGGCGGTATATTGCGGTCATAAAGTAGGCGGCCCTCGTGTCGTTTATGAGAGTTTGCAGTCCGTACCATGTGGTCGCCGCTCAACTTTAAGGCCCTGAAACTTTGTAAATCAGTATCTATGTTGTAAATATTATCTAGCCCAGCATTGTATTTGTATAGTGATGTGGGTACGGAAGTTTGTAAGCAACTCAAAAGAATGTCGCTGGTTTAGAACAATGAAAAGCTCTGATTATATTGATAGTCTTTTTTTCTTATTTAAAATCTTGACAGAGCTTGACTACCGTTCCATCTGATGCTTGTAATTAGTCTTATATGATAAATGCACTAGTCCTGCGAGAGCCTAGTTATTCTGGCCAGCAAGGAACTCAAATGTACTCGGATGGAAAACCAGTAGCCGTGAGCTCAGCGCAAGGAAGAGAATGCCACAAGGCATTATGTCCACCGATTGCAATTTTCATTTAGATTTAATTCTTCACTCAAGGTGAAGCAATGAGGCCTGCGCAAGCGTCTATGTGAATAAAGATATTTTGAATTTGAATATATAAATACTTAATAAAAACAAAAATTTCTCATTTAATAACTATAGTCCATTTATTATCAATAATTTTTATACATTGACAAGCTTTCACATCTTTGAACTTTCATAGGTGCAAGCAGAATATTATTTTTGATAGACGATTGCAAACGGGCTGATTCCGATGAAACTACACTTAGATTAGTAAATGCGATGCCAAGTATTAAATAGTGCGGTGCCCCTGCTAAACATAAAAATAACAATATAAATGTCTTATGCAAGTATTCTGTGAATTCGAAAAGCTTTATGCAGCAGTTATAGTTGATGCATTAACCTAGTTCAGTAAAGACTTATACTTTGTTTTTGAATCAATTTGATAACAGTTTTGATTTTCATTGCCATAGACAAGGAACTGTTATTACTGTTATTACTGTGGTAGGCGTAACAGCTTCTGCTCTTGCAGGAATGGACAGGTCCGTCCGGGTAAGTACTAGGACCTCACAGAAGACTAGCGTGAAGTGGATGTGTTACACTTCTGCGTTTCCTCTGGTGTGTTGGTGGACCACTTTATTAAAAGAGAAATATGCATTGTAAAAAAATTGATAAAAATAAATTCTAAATCTGTATTGCAAATGTCCTTGGGCGGCTGTTATAATTTAACATTAGGTGAACCGTCAGCTCACCCGCTGCCTTCTCACGTAAAAAAAAAGTGGACAAAGGGAACTAGACGTACTTTACAAGGTTCCTTACTCCAGTTTTTAGCCATTTTATAGTACGAAAAACAAAGCATATTTTGTATATAATACAAATTAATAAATGCCAAAGAAAATTATAACAAATTCTGGTAAAATATGTTTCAAGTTATTCACTTATTTTTAGCTTTTTTTTTCAGAACGTTGTGTTGTAAGGACGTTTTACAAACATAAATTTCACGCGGACAAACACCCAGATGCGAAACAACTATCTGTGGATCGCACATATAGTTGTCCCGTGTGGAAATCGAACCCACGACCCCCGTCGCCGAAGCCAATACCTTGGCAAATGCGCCACGGAGTCATCAAAACTTATTGGGCTCTACGATATAGCTCTTCTGCGAAAAAGCAAAGGCAGCCCCCCTTTGATAGTCTGAACTATGCCGGAAGTTGGGTCGATCTTCGGATAACGCAACGTTTCCGGGGCAGGTTCCACGGTGAAGCGGCTCAGGATGGCCGCGAGGCCGGCTAACGACTGTAGCATGCCCAAGCGCTCGCCTGCAATTTAAATATGGCAACATTCAATCTGTATACTTGTAATCTGAGACAATCAATGACTAGATTACCGGTATTTCTTGCTCGCATACTGGTTCAATAATGGTAATAATTAATTATAATACATTATAATGGTAATCAAAAATAAAATATAATGGTAATATCATTACTTATTTGTTGCTGGATGGAAAAAATATTACTTGATATTCGTGCGAATAAGCTATCCCAACTTTAATAACAGTAAAAAATTCCGTTCGACTACTTTTGAATTAATATTACGAACACGTTTATGCGTAGTATGACCTTGGTTCAAATTTGCACTAGTAAATGACACAAAAACCAAGTAAACCGATGATATTCAAGTTCATATTTTTAATTACTTTTGATCATTTATCTACTCGTTACAGTTTTATTTTATTTACTTTAATCTATACAGATAAATAAAATTGAATTTGTTTGTAACATTCAAATGACCGCTTTTTTTTCAAATGGATGTATAAACATTACATATACCAAAATTATTTTTACAATTTTGTCTGTTTGTCTGTCTGTTTGTTCTAGCTAATCTCTGAACCGGCTGGCCCGTTTTTACGGGACTTGATCTGACAGATAGCTGATGTAATATGGAGTAACTTAGGCTATTTTTATTTTAGATGTTCTATTTATTTTTATTAATATCTATAAAGATAAATAAAATTGTCTTTCTTATTTTTATTTATTTATATAATATAATTCCACGCGGACGAAGTCGCGGGCACAGCTAGTTACTCATAAAATAATAATTACATATCATTTAAACAGAACATCTAAAGGTCATTATTGAGTTTTAAACATTTAATTTTTACTGCATATTTATGTTGTTACGACCGGAACATTGATGAAGACTATATTTAATCTTCTTATATATAAAAATGAATTGCTGTTCGTGAGTCTCGCTAAAACTCGAGAACGGCTGGACCGATTAAGCTAATTTTGGTTTTAAAATAATTGTCACACTCCAGGGAAGGTTTTGACGTTGAGAAATTATGGAATAATTGCATGGAAAATCGAAAAAGCAACAATTTTATTTTCCCATAGATACTGTTCTTACCTGTCAAACATTTTATGGGTGCGTTCCGAAAATTCAGATTCACAAAGAAAATCACCTAGAAATAATTTATATGACAAAACAACGTTTGCCGAGTTAACTAGGTTTTTTCCGTAGGTTTATTATTGTAAACATAAAAGGTTATTTGGAAATCAGGTTATGGAATGGTCTTTTCGCGTACGAGGTTGAATTGTATCTGCATTTTGAATGGTAATGCATGCATTTTTATAACTTAACATTTAAATATTTTATGTAGACAGGCTCAGAGAGAGATAGAGATTCCCAGGCGGAAAATCTATTTTAGACCCAGATTCTCGAGGTTTGATTAAGTATGCATATATAATGTTAAATTGTACGTACCGATACAAGTTCGTGGTCCCTCGCCGAAAGGTAGATAAGTAAATTTTTCTATAGAATTGAAATTTTCCGGGTAAAATCTCTCTGGTCGGAACTCTTCTGGACACTCAAAGTATTTAGGATCATTGTGCAACGCTTGCACGGGAATTAATATGTACACTCCCTCGTCTATGGTCAAGTTGATTTCGGTGAAAGTGTACTTGCGGACGCATTGTCTGATCAAGAAACCCAACGAGGGAAATATCCTCATCGCCTCTTTGAAACAGCAGCTTAGGTATGTCAATTCTTTGACTGCTTCGTAGCTTATTTTGTTATCATATTTGGCAAGGACAGTGTCTAGTTCTTCTTGAACTTTCACCTGCTCCTTCGGGTTGTACGCTAACTGATGCAAGGTGAAACTGGTGGCGGAAGACGAAGTTTCAAAGCCGGCTGCGAAGAAGACAAACACCTGCGCTGCTATCAGCTTATCGTCCAATTCCAATGTCGCTGTCTCAGGAGTGCCGTCTGCTTTCAGCCTTTCGATCGATTCCCCCACAATTATTCCCTTTTTCTTGCACTCGAGTAACAAATCTATGAAGTCGTTCCTACCAGTCGGCTCGTAATTTCTCACTTTAAGAATACTTTTGACAAGATCGATCATGTCCTTCTCGACTCTGTACAAATACTTCAGGCGTTTACACATTTCGGGAAACACTTCTTTCAGCATGGCAACGAAAATCTCCTTCGGGCCGGCTTTGAAGATTTTCGCGCCTAGTTTCCTGAATGCGGACTCCTCATCGCTAAGGGAGTCAGCGTCGAGACCGAAGCCGCATGCCCCTATGAAGTCGGTCGTGTAGCGGGCCATGAGGTCGCGGGCGTCTAGGATCTGACCCGTGGACGCGGTGCCCAGAGCCCGTGCCTGCAGCTTCTCAGCTCTTTCCACGATCAGCGGGAACATCGCTTTCAGCTTCCCGCTGGTGAACGCTGGCGTCATCCGCTGGCGCAGCAGCCGCCAAAGGTCGCCGTCCGCGAAGAACAAATTGCGCAGCAGGGGCTCGACGATTTCTTTGTGAGTGTTCAAGCCGCGCGGGTAGAAGGACGAGAAGTCGCTGGTCAGCACTCGCTTAATGATGTCCGGATCCCTGATAACCAGCTCCGGCTTTGTGGCCCAGAAGCAACCGACCACCTTCTCCTCGGGGTAGTCCCAGTATGCGGAGACGATTTCCTCGGTCATACTCCGCCGCATGAGGTAGATCCTCCCATTGTTGCCGACAAAGGGCCACGGAGGAACATACTTCACACCCCTCTGCTCCCAATACTTGAAATTTCTCGTGCCGTACATATACAACGCGAGAAGCGCTACCAAGAGTAAAGCGACCGGGATCATGGCCGACATGTAACTGATTACGCGCAGACAGTACACGGTCACTGCATGTGTAGATTAAAACAATGCAACAAACAGGATTAATATACAGCACACCGTGAAACAAAATCGACGAATTATATTTACAAATGACGTGTTAGGCGACATGCCATTATTGTAACGCTTATGAAATCTCTCGATGACTTTGCTAAATACGAAGGATTAATATTGGCACATGTTGTTGTTAATCTTAGTACGTAATTTCAACTTGAATATTAATATAACAAGATGACATTGAATTAGGTATTTGATAATTTATTCTACAGCGAAGTATTAAATGGCAAAAGGTTGTTATATTTTTTGTACAATACATTTCTTTTTTTTAACAATTGTTTTTGAGAAAGTTACTGTCAGATTTTTATAGGACACGAAGTTCTTACATTGTGGATATTAGTTTATGTATTGCATATGTAAAGTAAAGGACGGTCACGTTTGCTTGGAACATATTTTTCAATGCCTCTTATCATATTCTACTTACACTTCCATTTAAGACGTGGAATGAATAGAATGCTTCTCGTCTATATTTATTTTGGACAAATGAAATAAAAATTAAAAAAGTCCAGAAGTACATCTGTATAACTGTTATTTCTCGATGTAAAAAGTGGTGTACTATCCTTACTAATCCTTACGAATAATATAAAGGTGATAGTTTGTATTATGGATGGATGTTTGTTACTCTTTCACGCAAATAGTACTGAATGGATTTTAATGGAACTTTACAATGATATAGCTTTATACATCAGAATAAGACATAGAGTATAATTTATATATTTTATGTATATCTGTCTTTCTGTCTTAACGTTTCACCTTGAGCCTATTCTACGCATACGTAGTCGCGGGCGGCAGCTAGTTATACATATAAACCTTCCCCTTGAATCACTCCATCTTATAATAAAACCGCAACAAGATACGTTGCGTAGTTTTGAAGATTTTGAAGAGATGACAGACAGACGGAGGGACGACTTTGTTTTATACTATGTAGTGATACAAGTGAATGTGACAGATGATACAGAACGTATGAAAAGTACGGAAAGAAATAGCAATCTATAGAATTGCAATCTAATTACACAAATTGGTGGTGAGCAAGTAGGGTTCTGAATATCATTGTTAGTCCGGGCTTACTCTAGATTTTTAATTCATTAATCTAACCAGAAAGTGCTAATTCTCTAACATCTTGCAGGAGTGGTTCGTGTGGGCACATTTTTTGTTTTATTAATGATAGGATCTTAAGCCGATGGTAGCAGCCAGCACTCTTCTCTGTTGAAATTAGGTTATTTTTTAATTTTGTTCACTTCGAGAATAATCCTTGGGGGTCGGGGGCGACAATCGATGTTCTTTTATAAGGATCTGTGGTCTATCAAACCCGATAAATAAACGCTCGCATACCGCAGACTTTTTTTGATCTTTTGTGTTTTGATCAGATGTATTCAGAAATTATCATATTATTTTATTATCACGTTTTGTACTATGTTCGAAATTGAAAGTCTCTTGCTCATGTGGAAGTAAAATTAAAACTAGTCATAATTTTTTTTTCTTGTACCGAACCGACAGAAGTCCATGACATCGGGTTAACAAAGGCGAGTTAGTATTTGCGTAGTGATTATAAAACATGGAAGTGTAACTTATTTTTACATTTTACAAGATATTTTCACTGCAGGCACAATGGTTAAGTTGTTCATCTCGCTTACACTGGGTGCCGTGTCAGCTCAATTCAGAAACGGATCAACAATTTAAGTGATCTATACATAGTTATATCTATACATAGTGTTAGTATCTATACATATTTCAGGATTACCTGTATGTTCGTTATTACATGATTGCGGAACCACTCTTCTTGGGAACGAAATATTTCAATTTTTTGATCCGTAATGAAAACAATAATCACCGGATTTCATATGTTTTATATGATAACATTTTCACCTTTTTGTTCACATGCAGCTTTTTTATATTTATTTACGACGTAAAGTTCGTTTTGAGTCCAGGGCGGCTGTTGTATAATATTCATAACTGTAATATTATAAAGTGAATTATTTCAAATGTGTATTCTGTAGTTACTGCACTGTATTGTTTTGCAATTAATTATCTAGCAGACGACCGCTATCTCGTTATCGCTGTACAAATAGCGCAAAAGTGCTTGAGTCGACGCGCTATTACTACAGCTACTGATACGAGTATTAGTGATAAAACAGAGTAATTATTATTGCTAGTATTAAAATATTATGTCTTTCCTTTCTCTCTCCTGCTCTTATACCAACAAGGTGGGCTGGAACAACATGTGTATTGGCTAGGTTTTAAGACATGCCACTTGCCTGACGTCAACATTCTTTGGGAATAAGTGTTCAGATCTGAATCAATTATCTTTAGGTCACAAAAATACTTGAACACGATACTTGCGTGGCAGTCGACCCCACGATCCCACGCGCCCAAGCCAGTATAATAGCAATTGTGGCGTCGAGTCATACATCATATTAAGTTATCTATATTAGTATTAAAAATATCAGTCAGTTTTGATTCATCTGAATGGAAGTTTTTAATTTGGTATACACTTAATGTATGTGTGGTGCTGACATAATCTATTAGGTCCTATTTAAGTATATATTTTATAAGCATAGACGAATAAGTACGTAAGTACGTAAAGTCCTATGATTCATAAAAAAAAATTGTAGGGCTGAAAATGTGACCTGTCGTCATTTTATTAAGGTTCCGCACCGCAAAAGGTGGTACAGAACCCTAATAAAATGATGGGAAAAAGGCTACCTTATAAGATCACTCTCTTGTCCGTCTGTCTGTCCGTGTGTCACCGCCGATTTTCTCAGGAACGATTGGACTTAAAAATTTGGGGAATTTATACCAGATACTGAGGTCTTTATTTCCTATTTTGTGAGTAAATCAAAATCCTAATTCAACACGATAAAATGATATGGCCAAATTTAGATTTTAGCGAAAAGTTGTAACTACCAAAATTCGCTTTAATTTTGGTGGAAAGCAAGGTCTTACGGCACAAAAAAAAAACAAATGCAATTACATACTAGATAATGATACGGCACCCTTCGTGCGCGAGTCCGGCTCGCACTTGGCCAGTTTTTATTTTATTTTATCGTTCACTTATCTTTCCATTTCATAGCTACAACAAAGTGACTGTTATATACGTAAAGTTAAGCACAATCTTTATGACTTCTAAAATCTTTTAAAACTCTTTCAAAATGAAATTGTCTAAAACTAACAACTGCGAAAAAATATAAACGAATTTTTAATTAAATTTAAACAAAATCCATAATTAAAAAAAATATTTTTCAAACAAACTAATTAAGTAAAAAAGAAACAAAATTTGTAACATCCTATACAACTCGCGCCACAGCGTCGTATTACAAGCCTCTCATTCTAACAGTATGTTTTGTCTCTTTTAAATTCATTCAATCCATTCATATGCTTTGTGACCTTTACAAATGAACTTTATGTTACGCTTTTATAGGTAAGGGTGTTCTAAAATTCTTTGTTTTGGAAAATTTAATAACTCTGTAACATCAATATTTTTTTTTAAGAATTTAAATGTTTAATACAACTTTAAAAAGTTATCCCCTATATGTGTGTTTATTGTCGCGATGGTAACGACACGCTGTATAAAAATGAATCCCTATTTCCCTTGGTCACGCCATCACGCGTGAACGGCTGGACCGATTTCACTTTTTTTTTGTTGTGTTTGTTATTATCAGGAGAAGGTTCTTATGAAAGAAAGAATTTAAAAAAATTGCCTGAAAAACTCTAAAAATAACACTTTTCTGTATTTCCGTACAAAAGATTCGTAATAGTACATAAAAGTCAATTTGAACTTTAATACCATACCATAAAGTTTAAGTGTTAGTGGAGGGTTTCCGGGAAGGCAAAACAAGTACAATGTCACTTGAAATGTAAACGTCTCTTTGCTGTGCATCACTACATAGTATAAAACAAATTCGTCCCGCTGTCTGTCTGTCCCTATGTATGCTTAGGTCTTTAAAACTACAAAACGGATCATGATGCGGTTTTTTTACTAGGTAGAGTGATTCAAGAGGAAGGGTCATATGTATAATACATTGCACCCGTGCGAAGCCGGGGAGGGTCGCTAGTTATCGATAAAAACGGCAAAAAATCATGTCTGTTGCATCGGAGCCCCACTTCAGAACAGAAATACATCATTTGTGACAATTTCAACTGTGTTACAATCACGGCTCATGAGATATGGCCTGGTGACAGACGGGCAGACAGACAGTCTCTTTCAATAAGTAAGTGTAATGCTTCTATATTAGATATTTCACTTTGACTTTGAGACATCGAAGTCTAAGTAATAGGGTCCCGTTTAACCCTTTGGAACCCGTACGGAAGCCGAAAAAGTAATGAAACAGACCCGTATATGAGTCCCCTGGCTGGGCACAGATCTGCTCTGTAGAAAGGGTACTAGGGCATCGTCCACCACGCGGAATGGCAGACTTCATATATCGTTGATATAAAGTGTTATTTCGAAAATATGCAAGTTTTTGCAAAAGCAATTGGTGCTGACATGAATGCGACGGTCTCTAAGCTATCAGCGTCTCACCTTGTATACTTTACACAATCAAAAAATCTGATAATTTTTATTGTGGCATTATTAAATCGTCATTATATAGATATCAACTCATCATGATATAGATATCAAAATTTACATGAACTTATATAATATAGACGCGATACTTTTTTTATTCTCGTGACATTTATGTTTCTAAATAAAATACGACTTTCTTCAATAACTACTCCTACTAACCATCCTAGATTGCATTACGGGCGATGAAACTACAAATTAGGTCGAACTGACCATAAGGAACATCATAGTCCGTCCAATAGTACAAAAAAAGCTTTTTTACATATATTAAGTTTTTTTTATTTCTTCTGTTTTATTTAAAAAAAATACCCTTTCTTTAGGATAATAGAACATCCTGTGTTGTTAGGACGTTTTACAA